TAGGAATATTCATAGTCGCTACTCAAGTATTACATTCCTCATTAATTATTTTCCTTTTTTGTCTTATGTTTTATTACGCATGCCTATTCGATCTACAAAGAAAGGTGATATCTTTTCGAGTGCGCACACTTGGAGGAAATGTTCATTCGTGACTGAAATTATTCAACATGATGGATATTCGGTGCCGTTGGCACGCGTGGGTGAAATCGCTCAAAACGCCACCGCACACTGGGGGAACTTGCTTACGCCAACAGTCACGAGTGACGCTCAGCTCAGCTGATAGCTCCAGTGTGCGCAGGGGCTTAATGGACATACATAGCTTCTAAAGTTACTCGAGTTAGTGTACATTCTAGATAACTATAATAAAGTAGGCAATACTTTTTTTGCACGTATGACTGTAGCCTGCGGACAGTCCCATGACGTCGCCTGACGTGACGGTGTAAGGCTAATGTGCAACGAGATTGCGTTAAGTTTTGGTTTCAAAACAAATTGATGTGGCAAAATAATCGGCCAAAATGTCCACGCAGAGTAATTAGTAGACGGCAATATTGGCGTTTCAGAAAATGATGGATGGCTGACTGTTATATTGAGCACCGCATATACGAGAAATAAACTTACATTTGGGACGTTTGGTGGTCCGTTTGGTTGTTCTTGTAGATCATCAAGCTAATAGTAAAAGATAAATCATAGTTATTAGCCCATGCACACGAAAGAGGCACGACTGGTACATAATTGCTGTGGGATTTGTCAAACGTGGGAGTATAACATTAATAATTCGTTCAATACAAAAACTTACGATTTCTAGTAGTTCATCGCGTAAAGCTAGATCGTTTTGTTCACGATATTCAAAATCCTGCAATCGCCTTTGAAACTGATTAACCAGGTGTTGAAGCGCGCCAATGAATAAATGTAAATTATTTATTTGTGTTCTAGCTGCATCTCTAACTCTGACCAGTTCAGCGTTTACTGCATCCAATGCATCTTGTTGTTGTTCAACCTAAGTGCATATAGTATAAAATTAGTATAGGTCAGTTAAAGGTTTGTATGGCGATAAATAAACTTGTCTTGTGGATTAGAAGGCTAGAGCGCCCATTGGCTCCAGTCCAGTGTTATACTACAGGAGGAAACCAGTACTACAAATGGTTTTCCCACTAGTCCAGATGATAATGAATGGCTCCATCAGTTCTAAACTGCTCGTTTTAGAGGTTCAGTATTAATTAGATCCGTCTTTTGTTGGTGTATCCAAAGAAAATCTACGGTGTTTAGAGCAAAGCCAGAAGCACACTTCTTACATACGATTGACATTAAAGTAAAGTCTCCATATTACAGCAATTGAGCCTCAGCCACAGAGATAACTGCAGTAACATGCACTATCAAACATTTTTTATGGCAATTAACTGACGTTATTGTACCTGGTCTTCTAATTCATTACTTCTGTTGATCATATTATCATGAATTTTTCGTTGATTCGCGATTTTCCTTTTTGCTGATTCAAGAGCATTTGTACTTTGCTCCACCTAAATCAATTACATTCATTTGCTTAAAACTGAGTATATTGGTCAAATACAGTTCCAAAAGATTGCATATATATCAGATTTACTATATGTTACCATTTAAAACAATACAAAGTACACAAAATGTTTTTAGTGAATAGATCAGAACAAAATTGAATAGAACAAAAAAGTACAAAAGGTTTTTGGCAATTTGTTGAATTTTTTGATGGCCATTATGCTCGAACCTGCACTGCAAAGCAGTGTATACACAATCTCAATATTTGGCCTCTGCCATTTTTTTACAGTAACATCTATATATAGTCTACGTTTTGCAAAATAATCCTGCAAAATAATAAAACATGTAAAAATATCAGATTTAACTTGGGAATTGAAGACTCCTAAGTTAAACGTGATATTTAGTAAATGACATAATCCTGCACAAGTATTAAAAACAGGTATTATTGAAACTTAGGCAAATTAAGTTGAGATAACATTGAAATACTCTGAATCTTTACCATATTTTCAAGTTCATCTATAACTCCAACCAAGGACTCATTTTCTGTCTGAAGGTCATTTGTCTTTTTATGCAATAAAAGTGCAATAAAAAAATCATATATGCTGTATGAGCACGTTTTATATCCATTTACTGTATAATTTAGATAAAAGGGCTACATTTTACAACATTTATTTGTTGTATATTTTAGATAAGAGGGCCACGATTAGTTTATTAGTGCTGTAGCACTACTATGTACGTACAACCCTCATTGAAATAAAGACTCTAATTTACCAATTAAACATTAACTTTATGTGGGTCTTTGTGATTATGTTGACAATGAGCTGTCTGAGTTAGGAAATCCATATTAGAAAGTACTAATACATTAAAGTATTAATACGTACAGTACACTCTAAAAATACTCTGGTTAACTTATAGAAATAATCCCATTTGGGTTAACTTAATGTAACATTCGCCATTTAATTTTCCGAGACCGAGTGGTTATTTTAGAAGTCAGCTTGTAACGTATTCGAAAGGTCAGCTTGTAACGGAAATTTATTACAAAAGAGATGTCTGGTGTAAATTGGCCTTAAGTCTTTACCTCATTTTCGAGATCACGTATGGTTGTAAGCTGGAAATTGTTTTCATGTGTCAATTGTTCATTTTCTTCCATCAAGTCATGTACTCTTTCCTCAGAATCCTTTAACTATATTAAAGTTAGTAAAAACGTGAGTATAAGTTTTACAACAAAGATTAGTGCTGTTAATAATTAATTGTTGCTGCATGCTGTATGTTGAACATTATAAAACTAGCGGGCACTCAGACTCTTTAATACCTCCGCCAGCAAATTATGTGTGGTTAGTGGTTATTTTAATTTCAAAATTCTCTTCTATTTAATCGTTCGTATTTGAGGCCCGTTTCATACGTCGCACTATCGTCGAATTTAATTCAGACGAATTTAATAGAACCAATTAAATGCGACGTTAGTGCGTCGTATGAAACGAATTAAATCCGTCTGATGAATTAAATTCGTCAAAGACGTTTTATCCGTCATGGTCAGACGGATACAACGTCTGTAGCGCGTCTTCGTTTCATACGACGTGTTATCGTCGTGTCGAATTAAATGCATAAATTATGTTAAAGTCTGTTTCTCTCTTTCTGGTCTCGTGGTTTTTACTTCTGGGTAATCCATGATCGCTAGACATGAAATGAATTCGTCTGAATTAGATTCGTCGTTTGAAACGAAACCATTTTAGTGTCGACCATTTGGCGAATTTAAAAACGAATTAAATTCGTCTGAATTAAATTCGACGTATGAAAGTATGAAACAGGCCTGAGAAGTCTGAGCCTGTAATATGGAAGTGGTCATATTGGAGAGGTGAACATAGCTAGGAAGGTATCCATAAAAGAGATGTCAGGTGTAAATTGGCCTTAGGCTTAAGTCTTTACCTCATTTTCGAGATCACGAATGGTTGTAAGCTGGAAATTGTGTTCATGTGTCAATTGTTCATTTTCTTCCATCAAGTCATGTACTCTTCCCTCAGAATCCTTTAACTATTATATTAAAGTTCGTAAAAACGCGAGTAAGTTTTAGGGCAAAGATAGTGACGCTAATAATCATGTAGCTCCTACAACAGTATACTGTAATACAGGAAGAAAAAGCCTCATGGGAACGAGGTTGCTGCATGCTGTTGAACATTTTTAGTAGAAAACTAGCAGGCACCCGATCAGAAACTCACTAATACAACCTTTGCCAGCAAATTATGTCACACACCATGTATGAGTTATACAATGGGCTAATTACATGTTCAGTTTACTTTGCCGAGAAAGCAAACACAAATGTTTGCTAATTTCCCTGGACCTGATTTCTAAACAGGGGTGGGTTGACTACAAAATTTTTGTAGTTCGCTATAACTACAGCTACTTCGAACATATGTAGTCAGGTACAACTACTGCTACTTTTGAACAAAGGTTAAGTTCGCTACTGACTATAGTTACTGCCTAAAAAATGTAGCGAACTATTTCGCTACACGCTATACAGGGTGTATAAACAAAACTGCACAGATTTGAAATTTGCTCTTAAATTCGCAAAACAGCTATTACACTCTAAAAACACTCTGGTTAAATTTGGGTTAATTCAACCAGGATGGGGTTAAAAATCCACCTACACAATCCTGGTTAAAAAAATTAAACCATTTTCCTGGTTAAAAGTCCAAAGAAGTATGGCCAGATTTTTGTTGAATCAATAATTTTTAACCAGGAAATCAGTTAATTTAACCAGGAATGTGCTAGGTGGATTATTGATCCAGTTCCTGGTTGAATTTAACCAGAGTGTTTTTAGAGTGTACTATCCAGTTTTTGATGTATATAGCTTCTTTGGGTACTTATGATGTAGAAAAATGGAAAAAATTTCTCGAACTCAAATTTTGTGAACCAGGGGTGTGTGTCTTTTCCAACAATGTGTTTTCGTGGTTACAGACAAACACACACACACAAACACAAACACAAACACAAACAAACACACATATATATACAAATTCAGGTGAAAACACACAGCCTGAAACGGTCAGACATCAGATATTTTCCGCCCAAATCATAGGCAGCCCAGATATGTGTGTTGATTTTATTCTAGTTTCTGAAAGTGAAATAGCTTTAAACACTCGCGCGTGGAAATTATCACGGTCGCGTGACGCTCGCGTGGGCATTGATAATTCATCGTATATATATATATATATATAATATTAATGAGACCAAAGATGATCAAATTTTACAGTGTAAAAGAGTGCTCAATACCATTTAATAACGTAGAGCAAATAATTTAATTTCTTAACTTAAAATATAGTCACAACTCTGAGTTTCACGCTCAATGCGATCTTCAGGCGACAATGTTTAAATCTCAATAAAAATTCCTGTATGATTACGTGCGAGTTCGTTAGGCTACTTGCGTGATGGTATTGCGTGCGCACGTTCAAATTTTCCCGCCAAGAATTGTTTCCGGTGGCAACACTGCGAGAATAGCTCACATCTCCTGTTCAGTAATCTTTTCTTATCACCTTTCAAAATTTCGAGTTTCTCTTGGAG